TTGATGGAGAGCCTACTGGTCTGTCTGCCTATGCTAATAGGGTGTCTGTACATAGCTTCCTCGATGTTGTTCGTTGCATCCCGTGCTTCGTTTGTTTCCTGTCCAGTGCCCGTTGCACCCGGAAAAAACAAGAATGCTGAGAACCTTGTCAAGGAAAATGTACCAAATAAGCGTTTTTTCGAAAACAATGACGTGCATCTACTATACAGTGAAATAATGTAAGGTTCAAAATATCGGGGAAAAATAATATACATCTCATTTAATTTTTTCCAAGTGCATGTTTAATGTACGGTTATAAGAAAAAAATCGTTTACTTGTGTTAAGTGATGCTACATAAAAAATTGATGTGTCTGAAGAGAGGTAATGAGTTGGGTGAAACGCACCACTCAGTTGTGTGAAATAGGTGTGAAGGTATTCTGGGAATCTAACGTGACGTCCAGAACGCGTTTTCTTATAGTGATCGACCGAAGTTTCGGTGGCTTTCGCCGTGCTAGGGAGTTCTTCGAAGACTACAGGATATTCTATTACTTGTGGATTATTGGGTACGCCTAGCTCTAGGCTAATAGGATTACCTTCCAAGTAAGCCGGTTTCAGACGGTCGATACTGAAGGTGTCTTCGCGGCCTTTCTTGTCTAAGACGAAGAATTTATCCGTACGTTTAATTACTTTATATGGTCCGTCATACGGGGGTTCTAGAGGGCGACGTGCAGAGTCGCGACGAACAAATACGTGTGAAGACGTTTTTAAACAGGGGTGAACGAAGACATCTATGGACTGTGGTCGGAGGGGAGCAGGTTTAACTGAACGCATTGCGTTTGTAAGCCTACTGACGTATGAGGAGTGATCTACTGCTGGTAAGAAGCTCAAGGGAGAAACAAACTCACCTGACAGTCGTAGTGTCGTGCCATATACTAGCTCAGAGGTAGTACAACCAGCATCGGTTTTTAAAGCGTTTCGTATCCCTAGGAGAACTAACGGAAGGGATTCAGTCCAATGGGTGTTATTTGCAACTGATAAACCAGCTTTCAATTGTCTGTGTAGACTTTCTACCACAACATTAGCTTGTCGATGGTAGGCTGTTGTTCGAAGACGCATGCAACCAAGAATTTTAGTCAAAGCGAAGAATAAACCGCTTTCGAATTGCTGCCCGCGATCAGCTGTTATGGAAGATGGGCATCCAAAGTTTGCGATCCATCTTTCTACAAAGACGCGTGCGACAGTTTCAGTAGATATATCCTTGAGGGGTACTGCTTCAGGCCATCGTGTGAAGCGATCCATGCAGGCTAACATATAGGTAACACAGCCTACCTGGTCGCTTCAGTTCGTAAATAGGACACATTCGGTCCTATGACATATGAGTATGTGAAGTATGAATGCACTTTCGGAGGTCACCGTACTGCTAGGAGTGCTGGCTTGAAGAAAAAAGAGTAAGTTGGCTGTGCATGCAAATTTTAAAATTTTTAAGGTCTAAAGGTATCTCATGTCAGTCGACATTTACAGTACGACATACAGCTGAAGGATACAAGTTAGCGACTTACAAAACTGCGTATGACCATCTATGCACAGCAAGTTCCATGTCTACCGATGTATCCAGACGCCGGCTATCATCACAGGAAATGGCATTTTTGCAGCCACTTACTGAAAGGAACACTAATGTTCATGAATCAATGAATTTAGTGCATGAAAGATTTGGCAAAATTATCTTGTACAATGATATTAAGAATGTACGGGCTAGAATAAATAAACGTAAGTCTTGTCAAAATAAATGTGACAGCAGAATAGAAATCTGTAGTTTACAAGACCTGCATCATCGACAGATCCAGAATACTTGGGCTTTTTGTTAATGCGAAGTCAATATCTCTATATTTCTTGGTGTGTTCCATTGAATCACTAGTTATCCGATTTTCCCGACAAACTAAAGATAAAATGACAGCAACCATGTAATTTAACCGTAATCTATGTAATTTAAATATGTAACTTAAGTAATTCTTATCCATTCCTATACAACTTGTGTGTCCTATATCTGTATGAATAAATATGTATCCTATTATATTATCATTACTAACTATACTTACTTATCGTTTGTGTAATTTATCGAAATGATGATGCCTGTAAACTGGCGTCCCTCATGTAAAAAAATGAGAATATACTATTATTAGTATTATAGTGTTCTGCATGACAATGCAGGCTTCGTCTCAAAAATTATTTTCCCTCGTAGTGATATGATCGACCTCTCTCAGAAGTTTCCAGAAACTGTTAGAAGTGATTGTTATTATAAAACCAATAACATGGGGTGAGTGGCAGTACTTGAAGGTATAATTTCTTCAAATTTACTATAAATGGCCTTTATACCGGTTTAATGTGACTGATGGATTTGGAAAAGGAAGGACTGTTCTGTTCGTTCTTACTAGGAGGGAAAGGTTTGCAGACATCAAAGGAATCTTGCAAAAGTTTAAGATATTTATAAGTGACAAATCTAAAACGGTAACATTCGCTGTCGACTGTGCAACTGCATAGATGAATGTTCTGAAAGGGGGATTTCCTCGAAGCAATGCTGTTTTATTTATTTTCCATTTATCCAGGAGTTCAGAAGGACGCTAACTTTCATTCTCACTAATGAACATAACCAAAACAGTTCCGACATCAACATGTTAAAAGGTGTTTGTGCTGCGCACACGCGCAGTTATGACACGTAGGTTAACAATTCACAAGGCATTGCAAGAGGTTTTGGAGTTGCCCAAACCTCATAAGTGTAATGGATGCTGAAGCTGATGCCTACATCAGAAGAAACTGGCTAAGGACTCGAAAGTATTGGGCTGCGTCGTGCAACCGGTTCACTATCAGCATGGGGAACAACACTAACAACAGGGTGGAGAATGCTCACAGGCGGACATTGCGGGATTTACAGGAGATCATCAGGAAGTTGGATAGTTTACTAATAAATGAACCGCGGACAACATTACGAAGGTGAAGAGCCTCTGTGAATCGTTTATTTTTCTGATGCTCGTGTTACGCCTTCGTTTCTGTACTTATTCATTGTATAAACATGTACTTCCGAATTGCTGTTACACTTCATTTCTATCCCCTTGCTTAAGAGTTCTGTCAGCCGAGTGTTGGTCGTTCCTAGCATATCCTGAATGGCCATGACTAACAGGATCCACCACTTATACTGTTTCAACGCTTAAAGGGTTATCTAGACTGCAATCAAATTTCATGAACAGTTTACTATCTCAGCCTAGTATACGCGAACTGGCTAAATGATTGAGGGTTTACCGTAATCGTCTACTATCAGCTTAATAACCGTGAACGTCGGAATAATAATAAGCTTATATTAACATCCAGTGACAAAAATGGACCACGACATGTTAAACTATGCAAAACGTCAAAAAAGCCTTCAGGTTTCAATGGCAAACGGATTGACAAAAACATAACCAGTCGGTGCAGGGAACCATCATAACACTAAGTCTGGATATACTGTCTTTCCCGAGGATCATATCATGTAAATGTTTTCACATTAGTAAACTAAGCTTACTGACATTATTCCATTACCTTTCGTTGGATATATACATATCCTGTGTAAGTGAATAATTTTAAATATGCTTACTATATGTATATATTATTTAACATATTGATGATGCCTGTAAACTGGCCTCCCGCATGTAAACAAAATGAGCATACAATTTTATTGTTGTATTTCAGGCCCACATTCCATGGACTGTTCCCAAGGGTCACAAACACTGCCTTCCACGAATAAACCTTGTAGAAGACAAAAGGATCGGATGGACGGATGTTTACTTTTCAATATGAACCTCATATTTGACTGTACCCTAATATATGTATAGCATTTTTGACGCAAGAAATTAACCATTCTAGTGGTGATACGATAGTCAATAATAATGAATCACTATCAGCATGTCACGGGGTAATAATTAACCAGGAAAATGAATACAGGCAATTAGAGGCTAGATATGATTACGACGAATAGATGACGTGATGCATAAATCAGAATGCGACGAATAACTCTGAAGGCATTACTGACTCAGCTCAAAAGGCAAAACCTTTTAGGGTGAAAATACTGGTAAAATAAATTTGTGGCAGCACACAAACAGCGTTCGTTTCGAAATGAGGTAAGCTATGTGCAAAACTTTCACTGGTATTTAGAGCTTGAGAGTGCACCAGTTTTGAGTATTGGTCTGTAGTAATGAGGGGTGATTATATCTTCTGTGACAGAAAGGAGTTTTTATCCCCAGGGTGCACTAGCTCCATCAGAATTCACTAATTTCATGAAATTTTATTCCGCACTCGTCAGCTTATTCGGCACCTGGATGGATGAGTTTTCCAGGATTAGATTTAGCTTGAAAACACTAAAATATTTTGGTGGATCTTCAAAGCTTGTGAAAGACATTGACAACTACTTCGTTTGTACGAATTTTTAATCCCTGCCTAACTTAAGCACTGGGAATTTTGGGAGGCACATATGAAAAGTAGTAGTCAGTTTCACTCCAAGAACATAAATGATGAGGGACTTAGCAACTTTCAGCACTTCGTTTGATTTTCAAATATATAATATAACATGTGTGCTCAAAAGCTTGAGTAAATTTTCATCCAATGGCTGCTGGGTAAGAAACATAAAAACTCACCACGTTCTGTGACTTCGGCAAGTTACGCCTGTCTCACTAAGCTATCCTTTGCCCTAAACGCTTTGTAAAGGCGAGACCCTAGAAATGTTATTATAATTTACGTACTACTTCTCTCTATATGTAAAGAGCTTCAAATAAAAATACGAACATTGCGAAATTCAATCTCAGCAACACTAGTTGTCACCAGGTGCATAACGAAAAATACAGAAGGTACATGCAAATTCAAATGACAGAAATTTTAAAATACAATGCGATAAACTAGTCAAAAACTATTGAATTTAACAGACTGAATGCAACGTAACCTCAGATATCAGACTTTTGTTAGAACGCATCGCAAATAGAAAGCTTTATATGACCTTGAGTAAACTTAGTTAGCCGCAGCGATTAATTATTTCGGCTGGTTTGGAGTTTTTGGCATGTAGACCAGTTTTGTAAGTTAACACTTTTCAGGAGTTTTTGTTGCTCTTATTCTTTATAAATAAATGATAGACTTAATTACGCATGAAAAATAATTTATCGGTTTTGATTTATTGACACTAAACTAATATACTATCCGTTTCTCTCATCTTTTTATTAGTGATGGAAATAAGCCCAGAATTAAATTTTGATTTAAAAACAGATGCGACAGATCCTGGTAGTGCTTCGTTCTCTGATTCTGGCGTGAGCAGCACATTTTCTTTTAAAACTAATGCAAGTGCTTCGGTTTCAATTATTCCCTCTCCCCCATTATCTGGGTTTCCTGGTTGTATGGAATCTAATGGTTCTCCGTCAATTGACCAGTCATATTTAAACTTTCAAAATAAAACATACTCAGGATTTTCAGACAGTAGCAATCTACCTATGTCGGCTAATCATCAATATCCTATACCTTCCAGACATTCTTTTCCTCAGGGTTTTTTATCTAGTCCCCCATCAGCATATTCTGCAAGTTACACATCTCCACATGTCTCAAATTCATTTTATCAACGTCAAGTTCCATCCACACTTTGTTCAGCTCCGAACAGTAATTTCAATTTACCACCACAACTTTTCCCTCCAGAAATGGCACAAACTTCTATGCCTTTGAACAGAGATCAACACAACGGTTCATTAGAAAACCACTTCATTCAAAATCGTGACCATAATCAGTTTTCGTTTTCAGATCACTTCCATAATTCTGATTTACGACCTCTTCATATCACAACCTCACCTCGTCAGTTGGGACCTCACAATAGCCATACTAATTTCGGTGACGTTACTTGTGCGGATTCTATGGGTAAAATTTCTCCTCAGGACTCACCAAATGGTGTGCCTGGAAACTGTGATCATCCTTCAACAGCTTGTGGAGCTGTAACATCTGGTCCTGGGTCAATGGGTAACTGTAGAGCATCAAGACCTGTGGAACGTGGTTCTGAAGTTTCTGCAGCCGACAGCAATTCTAACGTTGGGTCCATTAAAGCTACTTTTACCCCATGCAAGGTCTGTGGTGACAAAGCTAGTGGTTATCATTATGGTGTGATTTCTTGCGAGGGCTGTAAAGTAAGTTCATATAATTTTACGTGATTTAAGCTTACATTCTGTATAATTTCATCTCATCTCTTTGAAAAACAGACGAATTACATATTTCCCTGAAATATGCTTTAGTGCCCGTCAGTAACCCTGATGAATTATTTATCTGTATAGAACTCAATAGTCATAAACACTGAGATATCTCAGAATTAACTAAACATCAGCAGTTCAGTATTTTCTTCCACTGGCTTAAAAATATACCGATTCCTAAGTATTTAGATTAATTCCAACAGGAAAAATCTTGACTACCAATACTTGTGTGTACACAGAAAAATAATATCTTTTTGGTGGTTGCCATAAATCTCACGCAAATTTACATGAGTTTTGCTTGAGACATAGCAGACAAACAGTCTGTGGTTGAGATTTAAGAGAATATTTTAAAGAATTAATCTGAATGGTTTAAAATACCCTGTCTTCTCTTAATTTGTGGTAGTCGTAACCTAACAGCCTCACTAATTCTGACTGTTGTTGTCTTATGGTTTAACCTAATAGTATTGTTTTTACATCTACCGATTTTCTTTCACTCCATTTTTTTGATATGATGTAATGTGTAGCAACTTCAACCAAAAAGAACCGCTTCATAGACTGATATTCCTTTCTCTCAATGTGTTTTACAATTTTGCTTGGTTGTAATGGTTTTTCACTGTCTTCGGCAAGCTTATTTTGCATTACTCTCTACCATTTATCTAATGTGTCTGAGTACAGATTTATTTCACTCATTCCTTCCAGATATTAGCTGATTTATAACTTGTATCGCATATCTATCATTTTGCATATGTTTATTACAATTATGCTTCTCCACTTTCTAAGAACTTAACACAACTAGGCTAGAAACCTGTTGGAAAAGATATGTAAGCTATGTCTTTCGTAAGTCTGCAAATTCAAAAATTGCATTAGTCATAGTGATAGATAATATTGTAATGCCTGAATTGATATATATATATATATAATATATATATATATATATATATATATATATATAATCACTGGTCACCACTGAATGGTTAGAATATACGTCTAAGTTACTCAGTTTCGAGGTGTAGTGACATATATTTGACCGAGGTGAAACCGACTTGGATCGATTATCAGTAAAGCAATGTGTAAGTGCTTATTAATATCAATCAAGATGGGAATAGATTGTAAAGCGGCAGTAGTGCTCATATAGATATTAAATAATCTGAAGCTAACTACTGGGGTTTACGATTTCTGAGCAAAAGTCATACGAACATTTACTGCTTAAAAGCCACAGAATAAACAGCCGCCTATAATATAAAGTCTTTAGCACTCTATAGGGTAGGACGTTAACCTAGAAAAATTTATACCGACTATATGTTGTTCATATTTTCTCCTTATCAAATTATTTTTAATTATTTTAACAGATTACCTCATCTAAGGTTAAACATAAAAATAAATTTTATGCATAAAATTCTGTGCCACTGGTAAGCTTTCTAGCACCATAGTGTTTGGGAAGAGTGTCTGAATTCATGGTATATCAAGTGATTACTCTCCTCAGGATAAATGAAAATTAGTTTCTTTCAGTCGGCAAACATTTCTGAATCAAGCTTTTTATTAGAAAAAACTTTACGGTTGTTTTCTGGTTTGCTTTTCTTATGTATGCGTAATTAACCCTGTGCGTTGTGAATTTTGTGCATTCATAATTGCATTTCCTATACTGGCATACAACCATATTAAACAGTGTAGATACATAGCTAACCGAAATCATTGTGCAACGTGTCTCCTCGATCATTTTTGTCTGAGCAAGAACTCAATTTTCATTTGCACTCAAATACCTGAAATAAGTATTTCATGAATCAGGCTCAGCGCTATATTCGTTGTGTGAAAGCTGATGGTACTGCTCAATTGACGAAACTCAATTAGGTGGAGCGGGAACTGAATCCGTTACCCATTTGGTGGAAGTCAAGGTTTATAGTATAAAATATATACATTTTATTCCAAGGCTTCTCTTAATTTGCAGATAGCCTACAGCATACATAAAATTAAAATATATATATACTTTTATTCTACTAGGAAGAAGTTATGCTTGTTGATCACAACTTAAGGAAACAACACTTAGTGATGAAATATGATGGCATGACCCTTACAAGTGACACGAAAAGAAGCTTGTAACTTTTCATAGTGATAGTAATGGTTACTTTATTCCAGGCAATAATTTCTCATACAGAATGGAATTTACAGCTTTGGGCATATTGCAACAATTTATCTCCTTTTACAAATAAATAAATAAAATAATAAAAATAGAAAACTTCAAGAACTGAAACCTAATATATGTAATAACATTTCAGGTTATAATTTGTAGTTTATTTACTGATTACAAAGTTTATCAGCTCTTTTCTGACACATTCGTGTTTTATGCTGGAATTCTTAATGTTTTTGCCGAAAGAGCATAGATTCTTGTGGAATTCCTTCTGGTTTCACCTGAAGAAATACGAAGAGAAACTTACGAATAAATAAGATATTCAGTATCGGACAAGACAACTTTGGCTAACTGCATACAAGAATTAAAATGCCTATTAATAACAATATCAGTTAGTTGAGGCAAAGGCTCTTCACTAACCCTACCCATAGCCTTCAATCTTCTACCCAATATGACGTAGTCTTTTTTGAGAAGCCTAGGGAAGACTAAGGGGGGAAAACAAAGAATGTATGGATTTATAAATTGTAAATGAAGAGGTTAAGTTATACCATAAAGTTTCAACTTCCTCATCTAATAAGTTTTTCTTGGAAATCAAAAGATTTTAGATGACCAACAATGATTTTAAGAGAAACTGACGCCACGATAGGTAATGTTCGATTTATTCCTTATCGCTGCACCATTATAAGTTTTGAAGAAAATTTGAGGAGTTTTGACAAATGACATACAACAAAACACTAATTAACCAGCAAAATACAGGAAGAAGACTACGTAATAATATACAAGAAAACATTTAGAAGTGATTTCACATAAACGGGTCAAATAATAATAATAATGGTAATATAGAACAGAACACACGATTATATAATATATGGAAAAAAGCTGCTGCCAGACAAAACTAAGACTTACCACAGTTTCTGTCCCTTTATATACAGGTTAAGTTTGAGTCACCTGCTAGTATTAGCCTCAGAAAATCGAAGCAGAGTTAGATTTCTTTGATTACTGATAACAGTAAACGCGCTCGGACTATCTACTCTGTTACGCGATTTGGTTAGACGTCGGCCAATTGCTCTGGTAAGCAACTGGGGACCTTTGAGTCTCAGACTCTGAGTCGTAGCAGTTATAAACGGTTAGTTACTCACACTAGGAAATAATACTCAAGTGTTTTCCAAGTTAGTTGAATAAAATTACTTCAATTTCCAGCATTTTAGTCTTTCGGATCGACTCTATAATTGTCTAGTCTTATAACGTAGTTACGATGTGGTGTTTATATGAATGTTAAGTTTCACAGTGACTGAAAGCAACAGTCATGCATTATTTGACTGGATTACTTCAGTGAATTACTCTTTTCTGGTGTTTTTCAAAAATACTGTGAATATGAGAATTATTCAGGCAGTATTTCATATGATACTAATTCTAAAATGATTAAGCGTATCACCTACACATTTTTGAGAAATATCGTTTTACATTATTAAGTGGTTGAAATGGGATATGAAAGCTGTATTCCAAAGTAGCTTTCATTAAGAGTCAAGATAATCATGGGTCATCGAACATCTGTCTTCGCTCTTATTTTGAGATTCTTCAGCAGTGAGTCCTGACGCAACCATTCAGCATGGAATTCACGATCGTAATATGACTTGATGTCCAAGTTCGCATTCAAGAAGTCCTTCGAGATCTCGTTTCTCATGTTCATCCTCCTCTAGTTTGGAAATGTGAAGCCACCGTTACACGCTCGTCGGAAAAGAATAACTTGTCCTTATTTAAATTAACTTCATGTGGCAGGGTGTTCCTCATAAAAGTGAAAGAGCGAATGCAAACGTTTGGCGCTTACAATTGGACTGGTGAGCATACTAGTCTATCTAAGAGAGCTGGAAAACTCTGGTTCCAAACCTACAGTGTGAACACATGGGCTCCTGAATCCAAACAGATTGAATAGCGTATGAACCGGGTTTAGTGACCGGAAACTATGGGGAAGTAACTTCTGACACCGCTCCACTACCTGTAGATCAGAATTCAAATTAAAGGCTCAAGAGAGATGGTCCCTCAAGACAACAACCAGTTTCAGTCTGGGTGTCCGGACGGTATCCCAGCCTGCGTACAAATTATGAAGTTTTGTGTGGCGCCAAGTTTGTTTTTTAATAAATAGCAAAAATAATAGAATTTGAGGCCAACAGTGTTTAGCAGCGCGCTATTATCACTTTCAAGGCAGTTTAACTTCGGTTGTAAGCTAAAGCAGTAATGATAATGGAGCTGTTTAATATTCTAGATCACATCAATAGATCAGTATGTTTCAGAAAAATCGAGGTCAGATCCATATGCCTTAGAGAGTAAATCTTTGAGGAATTTTCAAATTAGTAAAAAAATGAAATTGATAATAATAATAGTAGTGGCTGTATTCCAAACGGTACATCTGATATGAAGTAGAATTCTCAGTACTTAGTGCGGTATTGCGTCTAATTTTCTCTTTACATTACATAGCAGGGGAAAAAATAACTAACGGGACATTTACATTAATATTAATATCAATAAAAATATGAATGTAAAGTTAAAATTAATCAGAAATAGTGGCAACAATATATTAATGACAGAGAATAAAAGGGGCCGTTCACTTACTGTTTCACAGTAAGTCAGTAGTTTCACGCCTAACACTTTTATCATCACATATAACGTATGCCCAATAAGGTATCATTGCTTCTGACCCTACCAGATGGGATTCTTGGGGAGAGTTGTGTACACACAGAGGGTGCTCAAAGTCTGCCAAGGCGATATTTGCCAATCTCGTGCATGACTTTAAATGCCTATCCACAACAGTACTGGC